TTTTTTTTATTTGTGTTTTGCCACCCCGTCGGACTCAACTTGTATCGGCCCCGATCCTGCTGGTCCCCGTCTGTCTAAGATCTAAACACAGCGTGGGTAGACAGACCGGAGATCGGTATAGTTGCTTTTAGTGGCCAGGTATTGGAAGCGAGTCGGGAAAGGCGAGGCTGGTGATCATCTGACCAAAGGGTTGGAGCAACGCTTGGACCCAGGAGGAACGACCAGGAGGAGCGACGTCACCGTTGGCGCCGTAACCAAAGGATCCGACACTGGGCCAGGTGTGTAACTGTCACAAGTGGTTGCCGTGACCAGGATCAACCCTGAGACAGCCACGTCGAATATATATATACATATATATATACATATATATATATATATATATATATACATATACATATATATACATATATATATATATATATATATATACATATATATATATATACACATATATATATATATATATATATATATATATATATATATATATATATATACATTTTATGTTTATACATTCTTTTATAGACACAAATATTTAAGTAAATGTCTTTTTATAATAAACAGTATCAAATAACATTTACCAGCCTGAATGTCCGAGAAATTTTCAAAGAAAATATTTCTCCTCCGAAAATTTCTAGGACATTCAGGCCGGTAAAAATACTGTTTATTATAAACAGATCTTTTTACTTAAATATTTGTATCTATAAAAAGAATGTATAAACATAAAAATGTCTTAAAAATAATTGTCTGACTTTTGTCCATTTCATTATATATATATATATATATATATATATATATACTAGCAGTAGAGCCCTGCGTTGCCCGGGATGTAACAATAAGAGATAGATCAAGTATCGACCATCATAAAACTGAAAAATAAAATTGACAAAGATTTTGTTTAAGGTTGACGGACAGGCATGTCTTAATTAGTTTTTTTTATTTTTTTTTTCGAATTGGTCAAACCCAAACTCAAGCAAAAGCATTGTTTTTTCAATCGTTATAGAGTCAACCGATTGAATAGAATTTTTATATAAACAATTGACTTGTAAATGGAATTTTTAAAAGCATTCTTAATGTAAAATAAAAAAAAGTGTTCAAGACAATAAGAAACACTACCTGCCAAAAAAAAAATGAAGTTTTGTTGAAATCGGTTGAAAAATGTAGGAAAACCGATCCCATATATAAACGAACACCCCCCCACACACAAACAACCTGGGTTTTATAATAAGTATAACTTGATATGAGTTGTCCTCCTTTCATTCTGGTGGCAATCGTGTTTTCAAATTGATTCCGTGCAAAAACTATTGTGTTTTCCAATTTTGGCGCTATCAGAACCACCGCAAGGTAATTTTACGCAGTCCTGTGAAGTTTTATTTGAAATCAGTTGAAAATGTAGGAAAATCGATCAATATAAAACGTACAGACCCATACACACACACACACACACACACAATCTGCGTTTTATAATAAGTAAGACATATATATATATATATATATATATATATATATATATATATATATATATAGAGAGAGAGAGAGAGAGAGAGATCTCACCTTTGTCAGGAAGTTACCTTCCTGATGTTATCGAACTGGAAGGGGTTATCCAAACGTGCGGCAACTTTGGAAATGCCTGAAAACTAAACCACGGGTTGACCCAAGCCTTGTGAGTGAAATTGACTAGAAGGAAATCTTGGGGGTGGGCCATTGATATCTGTGCTAGCACGAAGTCATTGTGACCAAGCGCTTGAGCGTGTTGTTCAAAATGTTGATCACGCTATTTCTATTTTTTTTCCAATTTTTTCCACGGATTAAAAAAACGAAAAATTGAAAAAAATATATATATAAATACTTATTCAAACAACAGAACCCTTGAAGAATGGATAATTCCAAGAGACTTCGAAGTAGCTGAAACAGTATCAAAAATTGATATTTACAGGTAAGTAATTTTCCTTTCTAGGATACAGGTTCGAATCCTGTCGGAGGACGAATATTTTCTGTGAAAATTTCTCGGACATTCAGGCCAGTAAATGTTGTTTAATACTGTTTATTATAAACCGAACATTTACTTAAATATTTGTATCTATAAAAAGTATGTATGAACATAAAAATCTCTTAATATATATATATTTATATATATTATAATTTTATCATATAGACAAAACCGTTTTGCTCCCTACAAAGATGCAAAATTTCAACTGCACTTCGGCGGGTGAGAATCGAAAATGGTTAGAACAATCCTGCTTAACGTAATACTGTCTCCTATCGCCATCTTTTCTCACCCACCTCTCACTCTTAGGACGCTTGTGAGATGATGAGCCTGGACTTTTGACCGGTGTTTATCAGCAGGAATATTTCCTCAGACCAGTGGACATTAAAAACACAATCCATTCATCACCCAACTGCTATCAACAAGCACTATTGTTTCACTCCGTCATCTATGTATTTTTTTCTCAAAAATATAGAAAAAAAGGGAAGTCACGTTTCACATACGGCTTGCTTACCAGCAGGATTGTTCATAACCATTTTCGATTCTCATCCGTCGAAATATATATATATATATATATATATATATATATATATATATATATATATATATATATATATATATATATATATATATATATATATATATATATATGGGGGCATAAATACAACCCACATTATAAGCTGTCACGTGTGTAGAGTGAGTGTGCTAAGGTAAGTAGCAATGATGTCATCTTTGTGATAATGTTCACATCTAGTTTCTATAAGGAAACAAGCTTTACATTGCCGCTTTTATTTCTTATGAAAGTTGGCTGTCTGACATGTGTACATTTATTGTAACTATTTGTATCAGTCTTTACGTTAAATTCTGGCTTTAGTTAGATGTCAATTCTTGGGAATGACACATTTCTAAGATAGTAATTTTCTTTTTCGCTTAGTTTGAATTTAAGGTAGGTCATATTTGATTATGAATGTATAAACATAAAAATGTCTTTAAAATAATTGTCGGACATTGTCCAATTCATAATGTGTGACGTCATTTGTTTGCATTTGGATACGCCGTGAGCAGATATGAATGTACGTGTGAGAATCATGGAAAATTGAAGTTTAAAAGCAGTAAATTTGAACTTGCTAATCGAACGATTCTCTGTGGCTCGATCGGACTAAATTACGGTTCCGTATAGGATACAGGTTCGATTCTTGTCGTAGAGCGAAAATTTAGGAATAACCAATCTTGAAATTTACGCATCTTTATAAGCATGTTCATTCGCAAAATTTATGGAAACGGCTGGGGTGACCATTTTGACAAGGGTCTATGAGATTATTTTTATCCAGATATCAGTAACCTTCGAAAAGAGGTCAAGCTGAGATAGGGTGGGGGGACATCCATTTCAAAGTTAAGGATGATATTCATATGCGTACCTCGTCTGGTCAGTCAAAGCGAAAAATTACTTTTGGCAGCATAATATGCCATTAAGAGAATTTTTTTTATTTTATTTATTTATTTATCCTTTTATTTATTTATTTTCCCAAAAGGGCTGTTTCGTACTTAAACGCGTCGCACTGAACTACAATTTGTTTTTTTGACGACTTCATAAAGGTTTTTTTTTATTTTCTATTTTGTGATTGGGTTAAGATTTTAAAATTTTTATTAGACTATGAAATTTAATTTTTTTTAATGCTAATTATTTAATGCGAAATTTTTTTGACGTCGCCAGAAAACTGTTAACTCGTGTCGATGGTTTCTTCAATTTTAATTATTTAGAAACTTAATAATGTGTAGTTTTTCATGTAGGCATAAAGGGCATGGGTCATCCCAGGTTGTACAAATCCTTGTTCTCTTTATTATTTTCTATTTTAATTTGTTTTATTCATTTCTTTTAAATGCCAAAAATTTTTGGATGGAGATGTCTGATTTCTATTTCTAATATATATATATATATAGTACCCAATAGAATTTTCAAAAACGAAAATATTTGGCAATTTAAGACATAAAATAATCGAAATATTCTCTCTGGTACCACGCTTTCTCCAAAAATGTTTTATCAGGTAGTTGCTTAGACACACACACACACACACGCACACTTATATATATATATATATATATATATATATATATATATATATATATATATATATAGGTGTATCAAAATACTTCTAAAACAGAAGGATATGCGTTTTATGGATCTTTTTCATTGTTTTGGTCTATGGAAACTGACCACAAAGTTTGTAAAAAATATTTTTCATACACCCTGAATGCATGTATGTATGATCTCTCTCTCTCTCTCTCTCTCTCTCTTTATATATATATATATATATATATATATATATATATATATATATATATATATATATATATATATATATATATATATATAGAGAGAGAGAGAGAAGAGATAGAGAGATATGCATCTATCTCTCTATATATCATCTATCTATCTGTTGTGTGTCTCTATATATATATATATATAGAGAGAAAGAGATATAGATAGATATGCCTATATCTATCTATATCTATCTATCTTTGGTTGAGAGATAGATAGATAGAATGAGGCATCTCTCACCCTCTCTCTCTCTCTCTCTCTATATATATATATATATATATATATATATATATATATATATATATAGATAGATAGATAGATAGATAGATAGATCCATATATCGTTTGAATTAATTTATTTTGAGACTGTTGAAAATTAACCGAATTTTGTTTGGGGTATCTCTGTTAACAATCCAAATTGTAGGTGACCATCTCAATCATATATCAGCAAGCATAGTCGGGTGGTCAGAACGCTTGCATTCCGATATGGATATGTCAGCGCGACTTTCCATCCTATTCAGGGGGTGGGGTACATGTTGTAACATTTTTTTTTCACGCTAAAAGTGAAAATGCACTTGTTTCCGAGTTTTTCATTAACAAACCTGCACCTCATTATCAAATCTACTTTCCTTCTTTTTGCATCTTCTTCATTTTTATTTCTTCCTTAATTATTATCACCGTTGTTATCGCTCAGATTTCCTTTTTGTTTCTCGTTCTTTTCCCGCCATCAATTGTGTTCCTTCCTTCTAAGCTTGCTTCCATCATCATCATCATCATCATCGTCGTCGTCGTCGTCGTCGTCGTTTTTCATTTATGTTATTGTTTGAACTCCCCTACCTTTACTCTGTTCTTCTCAGAGACAGCATTCTCTCTTTCTTTTGTACTTTCTTTCTTCTATCTTTCTTTTCATCTTTCATTCTATCTCTTTCTCTTTATTTCTTTCTTTCTTTCTCTCTATCTTTCTCACTATTTATCTTTCT